TATATATATATATATATATATATATATATATATATATATATATATATATATATATATATATATATATATATATATATATATATATATATATATATATATATAGAAAAGGAGGAAAGAAAAAAATACGAGAGAAAGTACATCGAAAATGAAAAAAAAAGTATCAATGCCTTCTCTCAAAAAAAGTCATATTCTAGAAGCCTCTCAATCCTGATTCGTTTATTTTAAAATAAACTAATTATTTTTTTATTTTTTTATTTTATAAAAATTTCTAAGTATTTTTTATTTTTCATTTAAGCATTAACGAAAGATATATTTTCAGTGCCATTTCAGAATAATATTCGACAAGTAATGTTTGGGGCTCACCCTAAAGGTTTTTGGTGTAGCCTATATAACTCTATAAAGTTTTTTAATATCCTAAATTGTTTTTACAGATCCTAAAAGTTAAAAGGGCCTTTTAACTTTTAGGACCTGTTAAATCATTTATTATTAGGCCCAGTAATCGAGCCTATAAACAGGCTCGATCCTAGGCCTAATAAATAGCTGCAGGCCCAACGTAATGTTTCAACAAATAATTCAACTCAAAGTAAGACATTTCATTACTAGAAAAATATTTGCAAAAATGAATTAAGTATTGCATCTTGAATAAATCTGCTAAATTTAACTTATAAAAAAAAAGTGCACGAAATTAAATTTTACTTCGTCATTTTGCACGAAGTTGTACAAATCATCAAAAAAAATATTAAAAAAGGAAAGCAAAAAATAAATAAAAAATAATAATTAATAATTGCCCAAATTATTACTATTTTGTAGATAAAACAGTTGGTTGCCTATATTGAGCTCATTATACTTTTGGTGGCCGTTGGGTTATATCCTATGACGTTTACAGCAAATGTTCAGCAAACTGCTCGAAATTCGCCAACTTACCTTATATAGTTTTATAAATTTAATTTCTTTGTTTCAAAAATATGTTTTATCATTGCAGTATTTAGGTATTCTTTAAATATTTTAACAAAAAATATAAAATAATAAAGACAAAAAATGCACATCTTTTAGTCAAATTTTTATAATCAATTTAAGAATCAAGCATTTTTCTAAAAAAAAACAATTAAACATTCAAATTGTAATATGTTACTTTTACTTACATTACAACAAAAGTTGATGTTTTCCGAGTTAGCTTGTCTTTTTAGCTTGTTTTTAGCTTAGCTTTTACTATATTTATAAAAACACAAAGAATAAAATCTTTTTTAGATTAATAAAATTTATAGTGTATTATTTTTTTAGAGTGCTTTGAAGAAAAAAGGATTTTTTATACGTCCTTGTATAGCATACAAGGACTTAAAGAAGGTGATTTTTAAGTTTTAGTCGTTTTTTTGACGAATTTAATTGGTGAGTTGGGTATTTGACACAGTTCAGTATGGTGACTTTTTGTTTTTAAGAACCTCTTTTATTTTTAAGAAATGGTACTTTTTATGGAGTCCCCCCTCCCCCACTCTTCATTTTTTAATAAAAATCCTACAAGGTTGTGGCGAGAGAAACATTTTTTTATTTTTGGTGTCCCAAGATGCCCTAACGGTCTTATCATTGAACACCACGAAAGCCCATTTGAAAGGAAGTTTACGCCACCTTTCTTACCGATGTTGTAAAACTTGCCCAGAGGTGACGTTGAACTACGGATCTCTAGTTTCTGAGGCAAGCGCACAAACCGCTGTGCTACGGGCTAAACAATGTTTAATTAAGTGCGTTTACAATTATTTAAACATAGCGGTGGAGTTCAAAATCATTAGTTCTTAATTTTTATTGCTTACTTTAAATTTAAATTTAGCAAAAAAATTTTCATTACTTTTTGCCTTACATTAACAATAACGTATAATACTGCAAATATTTATATCAAATCCTTTTATATATAATTTTCATATTTTGTTGGTCAATTTAATAAATATCGACAAATACGACAATGAACATCAATATGCATAGCAAATAACAGGATAAAACAGTTATAGAAAATTTTGAAAACAAATGATCATAGTTGCTACTTATAGTTATAATAAAAAAACTAAAAAAATAAAAATAACCAAAAAAAGTGTTTTTCAAAGGAGGCTTTCTGCTTCACAATATTTTACCATAAAATTGTCCAACTGTTTAACTAAGGCATAAAGTTTTACCCATTAATTATAAAATAACTTTTTTTGAAATTTTCCCGAGTTGAAAGTTTCCGGAAATTTTGCAACCCTATAAAAAAACTCTCTCCGCTCGACCATGGAAATTTTGCAACCCTCTAAAAAACTCTCTTCGCTCGACCATGGGTCATGGGATAGCGTTACTGATTTTTTAATTATTTAAATTAAAGGTTTGGCTAAACATATAAGCTACGACAATATCAATGATATTTCGGCGGCCAGGAACTCTCAAAAACTTATTTTTAAGCGCTTTATTTACTTTTCTCGAAGATTTTGTCGATCGACTTTTCGTCTATTGGTTTTAAAACTAATACAGGGTGGCCCAAAAGTCGCGTTACCATTGGAAAAATTCATAACAATCTTCCTAATAATTTTTATTTTTTTTCCTTTCAGATATTAACACTTCAATCCTTGGAGATTTGTTATGGAGAAATTCAGCACAGCCCAAAGAACCAAAATCGTAGAATTTTATTTTGAAAACCAGCGGTCTATTGTACTCACACGGAGAGCATACATGCGTCATTATCAAGTGAGGAATCTGCCCTCTAAATCGGCGATCATCCATCTAATTCATCGTTTCCAACTACAGGGATCTGTGGTCAACTTGCCACGAGTCGGGAGACCACGTTCCATGCGAACCCCGGAAAACAGCTCTCGTGTTGAGCAAAGCATTGAACAAGATGCAGCAACGTCGACTCGACGCCGTTCCCGCGAGCTTGGTATCCCCAGGACGTCCTTACAGCGACTACAAAAGGATTTACACATGTACCCGTACAAGATGCAACTAGTCCAAGAGATAAAGCTGATAGATTACCTGCGACAACGGGATTATGCAGTTCGTTTTCAAGAGATGGCAAGAGACGACAACGAATTTCTTCACAAATTAATCATGGGTGATGAAGCCCACTTTCACATGAATGGCTTTGTCAATAAACAAAACATCAGATTTTGGGGTACCAAAAATCCGAAGGCCATCTATCAGCGTTAATTACACCCACTCAGAGTCACGGTTTGGTGTGGTGTAACTTCAGAAAAAATAATCGGCCCATACTTCTTCGAGAACGAGAAAGGCATTGCAGTAACGGTGACTGGGGCCGCGAAATGTTAGAGAAATTTGTCCGTCCAGCTGTTCAGAACACACCGGAGGTTTGGTGGCAGCAAGATAGAGCGACTGCCCATACCGCGAGACAGACTATGCAGCTCTTGAGGGACATGTTCAGAGAACGATTAATTTCAAGAAATGCCGATTCAACTGGCCAGCGAATTCTCCCGATCTAACCCAGATTTCCCGACCTAATTCCAGATTTTTTTCTTTGGGGCTACCTAAAGAATCGTGTTTACAGTACTAAACCCCGCAATATCCAGGAGCTGAAGGAAAACATTCGAACAGAAATTCGAGCACTGGAACCATACACGCTGATCCGTGTCATGAAATGCCCTGGAAAGGGCGCGCGCTTGCGAAGCGTCATTTGCGTGACGCCATCTTCCATAATTAGACCAAAAGAATTTCCCAATGTTACATTGTCACATACAGAAACATTATTCCATTTAATAAAGAAATAAAAAAGTTATTCAGTTTTTAAATGGTAGCGCGACTTTTGGGTCACACTGTATTTTGATTCATGAATCAGTTTTGGTTATGAACCGTTTCCCAATACAGAGAATTAATAGTAACGCAGAAATATAATGCTGTATCAGAAATATATAATTGCTGCGTTCACAAAACTTTAAACTTTGTAATTTCTTGATTAAAATAAGGGCACCGTCCTCCATTTTTGACTAGGGTGTCAAAATTTCAATTGTAAAGTTGCATATAATCCTAATTTGTATATCAAGTGAATTTCAAATAGATACTAGTAAGTTTAGCTTACTTTGTCTGGAGACCGCAAAACTCATGCTTGTACCATTGGTATTACATGCCTCAGAGTCTTCACAAGATTTTAATTCATGGAGTAGAAGTAATAGAAAATCTATTAGAAGAAGAAATAAAGAATTTAGAAAATATAGGGAACAACATTCCCGTAAAAATTCAAGAACAAAGACAAACGAAGATGTAATGAAAAGACTTTTATGTACATCTGATCCAGTTATTTCATTATATAGAAAAACTGTTTCATCTGTAAAAAAGAAATTTCCTCCGGGTGTTGTTGAACTTTTTATTTGCGAGAATTCTACGTTCTAGAATATAGATATATCTAGTTCGTATTTTTTAATTGTTATGTTTAATCAGTTTTGGTTATGAACCGTTTCCCAATACAGAGAATTAATAGTAACGCAGAAATATAATGCTGTATCAGAAATATATAATTGCTGCGTTCACAAAACTTTAAACTTTGTAATTTCTTGATTAAAATAAGGGCACCGTCCTCCATTTTTGACTAGGGTGTCGTCGGCGCTCCCAAAGGCTCTGACTTAATATTTGGTAATTGATAATATTTGGTAATTGAATTTTCAAAAGGTCGCAAAAATTTTATATACTGAAATAGATTTCAGTATTTATTTAAATGTTAGATCTAATTTAAGTTAGGTCCTAAGAATAGATGAAGAATAAACCAATATTTGTTGATATGCCTATAAGTAGTCCAGTTTTTCGTCGATTTCTCAAAATCAATTTACTCGGATTTAGCACCTTTTAAAAACTTACTTATCACTTAATTGGTGTAGAGTGCATCATACACTCGACAAGTACAAGAAGATTTTTAGAGCACACGAACTGTGTGCGTATACAAAAAGTCTATAGCTTTTCTTAGACGTTTAAAAGTTTAACTTAGTTTTATAAGCTCTTTGAACATATTTTAAAACAATCAATTAAAAGTACAATGATAAATTTTTAAATTCATTATTCATAATAAAAAGGATTTCAATTTTATAACGTAAAAATTAAATAAAATTATAAGATACCTAATAGCCAAACAATGAGACTAACGAATATACTAATGATTAAAATTAACAATGCTTTGCATAAATATGCATGCTTTACGAAAAAATTCTTTTCAACATTATAACAAACACGGTTTTGCTGTTTATGGATACGTCTGCGCCCTTTTTTTCGATTTTCGTATAATATTAATTCTTTCTAAACAAAAAATTAAAAAAAAATTAAAAAAAAAATATAAAATTATTATTAAAAATAAAATATTTTATTAAAATTAAAATATTTTAGATTTTTATCTCCGCCTTATTTTCTCATTATTTTTTAAATCTTTTTATTTATTTATAAATACTTCATCTTTTTCCATATTTTTCCTATATAGCGTTTTTAAATAACTATTTTACTTTTTTGTTAAACAACACGAACTCAATACCCTTCTAGATGAATTGTATAGTGAGGTGTTTAGCCTTATTTTCTGCGATAAATCGTTTCGAAAAAATGTTATTTCATTCACGTATTTTCCCATAGTCAAAAAGTCTTATAGGATCCTATAGTAATCCTATAGATCATATAGATTTCTGGTAGGATCTATAACAATACCTAGACAAGAAATTCTACTGCAATCCCATAGGTCCTACCCCAGCCGGCATTATTACGTTGTTTCAACGTTGAAATTCGGTTGAAGCGTTGTTTCAACGTTGTTCAACTATGTCACAACGTTAAATCAACGTTACCGTTTAAACGTTGATTATTTAACGTTATTTCAACGTTAAATCAACGTTACAGTTTAAACGTTGATTATTTAACGTTATTTCAACGTCATTATTTCAATCATTGTTGACAAAAAATACGATATAAAATTAATGCGCGCGCCGAAATGGAAGTAAAAACGTAAACATTATTTAAACGATTAAAAGTTATAGAGATTTATAATGGAAAAAAAATGTAAATACTGAACTTATACCATATAGAATTTTCAAGAGATCGAAAACATGTTCAGACGATTTTCCTGAAAGAACATTATCGTTTAAAAATCGATATTTTTCGCCTAACTTGGGCTACAATGCTCAAAGACTGATATTATTAAATGTAAATATAATACAACTTTTTCAAAAAATGATCTATTAAATTATGTTGAATTTAATGCTAAGCGTTGTTTTTTAATAGAGCATCAAGAATTAAAAAAGGAAATCGATAACTTAAAAAAAGAACTTCAGCACGAAATAAAAAAATAAAGATTTATATGAAAAATTACCTTCAACTACATGAGTTATTACTATGAAAACAAATAAATTTGTATATAAACATAATCTAAACAAATCGTGTTATTGCAATTTACTTGTATACAAACATTTATTTTAAAAATTTTAGATCTTGCGACTTTTATACTGGCCTTACATCTGTCAATGTGTTTCATCAGTTAGTGCAGTATCACCATTAATCAAAAGAGATAAAGTGATATTAAAAAAAACATTTACTTCTGTTTTTTGAAATTTAAAAAAATCCTTAACTACTTCGACCAAAATAAATGTAATGCAGCAAAGATGAATTTTTAATGATGCTAATACTTGGATTATTGACAGCTGATTTCTAACTTTTAAAAATTACAAAAATTCTAACTTTTAAAAATTACAAAAAGTTATGTAATTTTTAAAAGTTAGAATTTAAGATATCTTAAAATTTCTGACAAAAAGCAAAACAAAAGAAATTTATAAATAAAAAAAAATTGCGTTGAAAACTTTTGTACTTTTTGATAAAAATTTATTACAAAAATGACGTCTTTATAATCCATGTAGCAGTCCTGTTAATAATAAAAAATAACAAACCTATACATTTTTAAATAATATAAGCAGTATAATTCATAAAAAAAAAAATAATCCATGTAGCAGTCCTGTTAATAATAAAAAATAACAAACCTATACATTTTTAAATAATATAAGCAGTATAATTCATAAAAAAAAAAAAATTCATTTCAATAAGTTTCGAAAAACTTTGAATCATGGCCACTTTATTGAGGTTTTGCACCACTGCACAGTGGGACAGAATGTGCCAAAATACAAAAAAGTAACTATCGGCATTGTATTCTGAAAATATGTCATAATGGTGAAAATATGTTTAATAGAGGAAATATATAGTTAAAAAACTTTAAATATTAATTTAAACGTTGTTTTATGCAGTTATATACACATGAATTTGACATGTTTCAAAATTCTTTTTTGCATTTTTTAATTATCAACTTTCTTATACTACTATTTTATTGAGTTTGATTTGTAAAACATATTATTTGAATTAACTTTGTTTTTTTCACTCTGACTATTCAAAACAATTAAACATAAGTGTATTCTTCACAGGCAGTTTTGGCTTTCTTTTTTTGCTACTAACCTTTACTATTAGGTATCAGATAAACTGTCCTCCAATATCTTCCAAACATTTGATTATGTAAATCAAATGCTTAATGCATTTTAACTGCAATGTATCATAAATATTTTGCAAATTTTTGCAACTAATAAAGTTATAACAAATAATTCATACTCGATTCATAGTATTTATTGCAAAAACACGTTTTTCATAAGTTCTTGAAACTCAAATATTTTTAATGACTTTTTAACTGCAAATTAATTATGCAAGATTTTTTTTACCAAAGGTTTCAACAATAATTTTATTTTTATTTATATATATGATACTTGTTGATATAGTGCCTTTTTCCCTCCATTCCTCCCCCTTCCCCCTCAGATATACTGAAAAGGTTATAAAATATTTTTATAATCTTTTCAGTATATCTAATGCTTTTACATATAGTGTATGCACTAATAATATTTTACAGACACTTGTCCGCAAGATGCAATAACTTCAATTTTGTTTTTAGATGATATATTTTGATTTTTTCAACTCTTTAAAAGATAATTTCTATTCAATATATTCATATCATATAATCATATACTCATTTGCTAACATTCTTTGAGTTATCCCTTGATCAGAACAATGAAATTGTTTGGAGATCAACACTTATGAATATTTTAGCACATCTTAAATATCCGGGAATGTCGGTAAATGCAGAGAATATTTATTAAGAACAATACTAAATGGCTTGATAATGAAAATAATTTAAAACCTGCAAATTCTCAATCTACTTCCAGCGCTGGTCGACCAACAATTACTGACTTTTAAGAGTGTTCTTCAAGAATCGAAGTATTAGTAAACTCCAAAAAAGTCACTTGTCAAATGAGCTATTAATTGCTTTAAAAGTTTTATTAAAAAAAGAATGAAAAATAGAAAAAGCTAAAGCAATCAACAAAATATATTTAGATAAGAATGCAGATTCTTCGATGCTTTCTGGAAATGAAGCATTGTCATTGATGCTAGATTCAAATATGCAATTGAAAAAGAAGTGTTCACCAAAAGACATGAACAACATTGACAAAGTTACAAAACTTACATGCTCACCGGATGAGTTTCAATATGGATTATCTACACTTCATGCATCGATAAGATTTTTTGAGTGTCTCATTCATATTTTATATAAGATACCAATAAAAAAATGGCAAGCAAGAGGAGACAAAGATAAATCTCTTGTTAAAGAACAAAAAATGAAGAGACAAAAAGAATTTCAACACAAAATGGGACTTATTGTTAACTACCCAAAATGTGGAGGATCTGGAAACTCTAATTACAGCAATACTGCTCGAAAAGCTTTTTCAAATGAAGACTTGTTTGCTGATACTACAGGAATAAACAAGGAACTAATTGTAAAGTTGCATATAATCCTAATTTGTATATCAAGTGAATTTCAAATAGATACTAGTAAGTTTAGCTTACTTTGTCTGGAGACCGCAAAACTCATGCTTGTACCATTGGTATTACATGCCTCAGAGTCTTCACAAGATTTTAATTCATGGAGTAGAAGTAATAGAAAATCTATTAGAAGAAGAAATAAAGAATTTAGAAAATATAGGGAACAACATTCCCGTAAAAATTCAAGAACAAAGACAAACGAAGATGTAATGAAAAGACTTTTATGTACATCTGATCCAGTTATTTCATTATATAGAAAAACTGTTTCATCTGTAAAAAAGAAATTTCCTCCGGGTGTTGTTGAACTTTTTATTTGCGAGAATTCTACGTTCTAGAATATAGATATATCTAGTTCGTATTTTTTAATTGTTATTAAACCAAAAAATAACCTTTTTTAGCAATATATATGAGCTTGATATTCATTTTATATGGTTTGTATAATTAGTTTATAACAGTTCTAATAAAAAAAATTAAAAATAATTTTGGCACAAAAAAAGCGATTTTATCCCACTATGCACTGTACGGTACCATGAAAATTTTTAGCGATCCATTTTTTAAAATAGAGGCCATTTAGAATAGCAAATAAAAAACTTGGGTGAAATAAAGAGAATTGGGAAAAAAGGTCAATAGCACCCAAGTTCCCCCCTCTTCCCACAGTACATATATGTATACATATATTTATATATGTATATATATATATATATATATATATATATATATATATATATATATATATATATATATATATATATATGTATATATATATATATATATATATGTATATATATGTGTATATATATATATATATATATATATATATATATATATATATATATATATATATATATATATATATATATATATATGTGAATTTTTAATATACTTTTACCATGTAATAGATCTACAAAAACTAATTTAAAATGTTAACCAAATAAAGTAAAAGATTGATTATCGCTATTTCTTGTATTCCATACTTGGATACTCAATCCATTCCTTTAAAAAATGAAGAACTCATTCTTTAAAATTCTGATAAATCTAGCAGCACACCAACTAGCTCATCTAAATCTCTATAACATTACTTGTTCAGCGCCAATCTTCAGGGTCAATGTCAAAAAACACTCTTTTCTCCGTTATAGCTAATACTCCTGAGACCAAAATAGCAGTACATATTTTGTGCAATGATATTTTAAAGAAAACATTGATTTTACAAATTCATAACTTTTAAAGTAATTCAATAAAGTATATAGTAACTATCTATTTTTATCACTAACTAATAATTTAAAAAATTTAAATGCTTTAATATTAAAGTATATAAAATAAGACATATACTTATTTCATCTTAAAATTCATTTATTTCATCTTAAAATAAAATTTTATTTTTAGGTGTACATATTAAAAATACCCAATCAACTGCAAATCAATATGCTGCAACTAGTTAAGGAAGCAGTTGGCAAGCTGTCAAAAGTTTAGTATTTGCAATTTTTGGGGTTACAGTTTTATCAAGTCATTCATAGACAGGATGTTGATGTGATTCAGTCAAAGGTCTAGGCCATCTATCTAAGCCAACTTTGAACTCAAAGAAAGTTTAGGACATATTAGGTAATGATAATATAATATTTTATTTGGTACCACTAATTCTCCTTGTTTTGTATAATGAATATAATATATAACTATTATTTCATTCATACTTTTGTATTTAGATTTCTTAGCTAAGCAATTTCCAAGGGAAAATTATGCTATGTTCAGAAAAGCAAATACTTCAAAGGGCAACGATGAAAGCAAACTTGCAAAACAAAGCATTGATGTTTTTAAAAAAACAATTGTTGATAGAGAACATTTTATTTGACATATTGATTGTCAGAGAACATAATAATAATAATCAATATAATTAATAATAAAAACTGACTGGCTGATTTAGTCAATATTCTGTTGTTCCTTTTTTTTTTTTTTTTTTTTTGTGAACTAAATTCACTGGTTTTTATTAAATTAAGAACTAAATGATAAGGCCCAAGATTTACCAATATTATATACACACCTGTTTTAAATTATGTAGGAATACCATAGAGAATATTCCTATTAAATACCCTTTAACAACAGCAAAGGGCAATCCGATAAGATTTTAAACAGGATTGAAAAGGATTCTCATTCATATAAAACTATAAGATATTGTTTATTCAATGTCTTATAAGACACTGAATGAACAATATCTTATAGTTTTATATATACAGGAATTCTATTCAATCTTGTTCCAAATCTTATATGAGTTTTCATCATATAAGACATCAAATAAACAAAATTAGAGTTTTATATGCACAGAAATCCTACTCAATTGAGTAGGATTTTTGTACAAATAAAACTATAGGATATTAAAATAACATATAAAACTACAGGATAGAACAGAAATTTCTGTACATATAAAACTATAGGATATTATTTATTCAGTGTTTCATAAGTTAAAACTTCTATAAAGCTTTGGAATAGGATTGAATAGGATTCATGTACGTCCATACCTATAGGACTTTTATATACGGTTTCTTATAGAATAGGAATCCTATAAGATTTTGGAACAGTTTGTATGGGAATCTTATCGTAAAAAAAATCCTATAGAATGTATTTATTTGTATTATCCTAAAGAAAACCTGTTCCAATTTCTTATAGGAATGTTCTATATCCTTCTTATAGGATATCCTATAAGACTTTTTGACTAGAGTCTTTTCTGATTTTTTGCCATGAAAGAAAATACACAAAATATTATGCTTCCACTCATGACAAGTATTTATGTTCTTAATTTTAATAAATTTAAATAGTTTTTTTTTTCAAAATTAGATAGTACAGGATACTACATAACAATAGATAGTACAGGATACTACATAACAATAGATAGTACAGGATACTACATAACAATAGATAGTACAGGATACTACATAGCAATAGATAGTACAGGATACTAAAATTTGGAAATTTTAAGGAATTGTATTCAAGCTAAATTTAATGTTTTTTGAAGACTTGTTTAACAATTTCTTTCTCTCTCTCTATATATAGTCCACTAAATCAAAAAACTTCTTTTGAGTATATTTTACACTTTATAAAACTTTACAAGGCTTTTCATTTTTGTAAGAACTTTTCTCTGTAATGTTTTCATTAAAAAATATACCAACAGTTTCAATTAAAAACAGAAAATTTATTGCAATTTAGAAATAGAGATTTATTGCAATTTAGAAATAGAGACAGTAACTATCCAAATCAGTCATTCAGTTCAGTATCTTTTATTAACAACTCTGTAACTATTTTCATTTAATACAAAAACTGTCTTTTTTTATATGAAATTATTTTTTATATGTAATTATATGAAACTTTTATATGATCAATCATTTTATATGATCATTAGCAAATTTCTTGTTTTAAGATTACTTAAGAGAATTCAATAAAAGTTTTTGTTTAAAAGTTTTCAAAGTATTCCCAGATACAATATATAATCTTAATTTACTATCTCCTGTTTTTAACAAAAGTACCATCACCTTCCAAGTATATCTTTTCATTTATAACACTATTTAGACACTTTTTGTGTCAGAAAACCAGGCAGATAAAAAATGGTTGATAAAATATGTTTTAAAGAAAAAAATAAGAAAAATAAACTGAAAATAAAATAAAAGTGCCATAAGTACTTAATAGTTTTTTTTACTTGTTGGATATTTGAAATATAAGATAATTGCAAAAATTGCATAATATTACAACATGATAGAAATACATAATGTTATATCAACATGATAGTGATGTTTTAACTACATAATAGTATAAATATATATACAAAATGATAAATGCTAAGAAACTGAATAATCATAATTAAAAATTTGAAGAATTTTAAATTTAGGTTTTGATTTAAAGTGTAACAACAATGCGTTCTGAAAAATAAAGTGCAAAAATGTAGTACAAAAATTAAAGTATTATCTATAAAATTTTTACCTCATCTTTCTGAATTTGAGCACTATTCACTAAGCTTATAACTTCTTGTTTTTTCTTTGTATCAATACATTGCTCATCACATTCTAACTCTGCAACATGAAATGCTTCTCGACAAAGCAAAGCCTAATGAAAAAGAGATTTTTACATATGTATGGGTGTGTGTGTGTGTGTGTGTGTGTGTGTGTGTGTGTGTGTATATATATATATATATATATATATATATATATATATATATATATATATATATATATATATATATATATATATATATATATATAGAGAGAGAGAGGCCTCGGCGGGAATAAATGAGCACGAGAGTGAAGAAAAGCTCTCCTGAAATGAACTTGGGGAGCTGTGCAAGCTGATAATTATTTAATTCGGCGCTCTTTTTTAATTTTAATTTTTTTTGCAGCAATCGTACTTTTTAAAAAGCATTGCAGTATATTATGCAATTAATTTTTTTAAATGATATATATATATATATATATATATATATATATATATATATATATATATATATAGTTTATGATTATTTTTTTATTATTATATTATATATATAGTTATATCTATATAATATTATATATATTATATATATAGTTTATGATTATGATTATATATTTATATATATATATATATATATATATATATATATATATATATATATATATATATATATATATATATATATATATATATATATATATATATATATATATATATATATATATATATATATATATATATATATATAGTTTATGAAAATAGTCAACATAATTTATAAATGCAATAATTTTTTTAGTGTTGTTCATTAAATTGCAGAACCATGGTTTATTTCTAAAGCTATAAAACTAAGACTCAGTAAAATTCTGCATTCTTTAAGATACCTCAACACAAAGGTTAAGTGAAGCTAAATTCTATAAACTTTTAGATACTGCTTTTTGCAAATGCAGAATTGCTGACTGCAGTGAGGATGATACCCCTTTGCAAAGAATGTTATGATGACTGTGCTTATTACCTTTGTAAATTCTTAAATTTAAGAATTAAACAAAAACTCAGAGAGAAAAACAAGACAGTGTTTCATGTATGCAAAAATTTGATCTGCATGTTAAAAAAACTTAGGTTAAAAAACTAATACAAAGCTAAATTAAAGTCATCAGTAACATTTTATTCATCCACTGTTAGATTTGACACTGAAAATATAAATTATGTAGCAACATAAATTAATAATAATTCCGAAGTTGATATGATTAGTGATAGCGATAAAGTTGATGATAGTGAAGAAGATTCAATATGAACAGCATAACTAACATCAACTACTTTGATATTAGTGATGCTGTCATTGCTTGTGTCAGATTTGGTGTGTCATCGACTGTTATTGCTGCTGTCATTAATAGTCTACTGATATTATAAAGGCAAAGAAACTTGTTTAACACAAAAAAAAAAACTTATATTTTTTATATTAACGTGTGTGCTATAGAAAATTAGAGAAATATTTAGACTATGAAAAAAATATAATTGGAGTTTTTGTTGGTAGTTAAATTAAAACTTTAATTTTTATGCATGATATGATCACAGGCACCTACAGAAGAAAAAAAAACAACCAAACAAAACTATGTAACTGTGACTGATTAACCTAGTTTACTACTTTACCCATAATACTTGAGTCTAATTCAGATATATCTAAATCAGCCAAGCAATGTGCTATTGAACTTTTAACAGGTTAACAAAAAGAGTTTAATCTCCAATTAATTGTCAGTGATACTAAAGGGTCTTTTTTTAAGCCCAATAAAATGTGAAACTGTAAAAAATAGCACAAAAAATTATACTAAAACCAAAATTTTTTTTTATTTAAAAATTCAATACATAGCATTAACATTTGGACACAAGGGCACCAGGGCTGTTTCTGACAAAGCTCATTCTCGATGCCCAATTAAGGCCACGTTCTTATTGCTGGTCATATGTCATGAATAAGATGAACAATGCTGGCCTCTAAAGCATTAATTGTTGCTATAAAGCTGTTAAGCTAAAAATGAGCCTCATTGCTGAACACAATTTAGCAATAAAAAAGGGTCAGTTGCTAACTGCTCTAATGCCTAATTGGCAAAAGAATAACACATATAATGATCTCGTGGTTTTAATTCCTGCACCAATTGGACCTTATATGGTTATAAACCAAGATCTTTGTGCAAAACTTTCCACATAATAAACAGACAGAGCCCCAATACCTACAACGGAAGAGGAATCAATGAACTTGGAACTTCTTTCATACTTTCCTTAACAGTGGCAATATTTTTTCAGTACACATATTCCTTCAAAGTGTTAATGTTACTCCACCCTCTAGAGAGTATGTGGTACAAAATCTATGCAGTGTTTGACAGATTGTTCAGATAAACGTTTATAGAGCCTCTTGTTTATCAGTGAGGATTTTGTTAAGCAAATAAGTTTAGTCACATGGAAGTATTTGAATGCAATATTGAAAGTAAAAATTGATTGTAAAGTAGGAGCTCTTAAATGTAGTAGATTGTCTCACAGTTAATTGACTTGTAGCACAAGATGCTTGCTTCTCTATATGACCAAACATGAAAACCTGAGAACACAGAAATCTTAAGACTGACTACAACTTGGGTGACACGAACTTCCAAATACTCTTTGAAATTTAAATAAAGCATGACATAGGTTAATCTTCCAATATTTTTTGAGATTAAAATAAAGAATGACATTAAATATGGTTCTGATCATTTTACAAAGTTATTTTGACTTTGAAAGAAACAAGATGACAGGATTAAAGAAGTCTTTAAACCTTACCTAAAAAGTGTGTATTATGGTGGAGTGAGATCCTTGTTTTTCAAGGTTTTATAAAGCTTAACAATCCTTGCCTCTTTGTTAAGCTTTACAAAACCTTGTTATGCATAATCATATAATATATGGAATTCATGGCAGCCATTACACCCGAGTTAATGGCAAGAAAGAGTAATAGTAATTTTTGTTAGAAAATGTGAACAAAAGTGTACGCAAATATCTAACTTATGCAAATTTCAAACTATGTAATATTATAAAATCTTTTATTTATTAAATAGTTTTAAAACTTTATTCGAACAATATGCCTTAGTGGCCAAAGTGGTTAGGTTGGAGCTTTTTAAAGTGAAATGCAGTGGTTCAAATCCTTGCTTATCCCCATTTTAATTTTTTTCCAAAATCTTTTTAAATTTTTAAAATAAAAAATAAAACATTTTTGAAGTTTTACAGATGTTTTTACTTTTATGAATTTTACTTTTATTTAAAAATTGCATTGGGGCAAAATCTCCTTAATTTTGATTTAAAGTATTTATTTGCCATTTTATAAAGTTATTCATTGCATTACGTCTTTAGTTTTTAAAATAGTGATAGTGTCAAAAATTGGCAGTTTAGTGTGTCTCAGTGGCCTAAGTGGTTAGCTTGCATCCTTTCTGAAGTACAATGGTTCAAATCTTGTTGGTTGCATATTAATTTTTAAAAACCAAACTTTCTAAAATACAAATTAAAACATTTTTAAAGTTGTTCATATATAAAGATATAATAATAACAAACAAAAGAGAGAGTTTTTAAAAAGCTTAAAATCGCAATGATTTTTATAATAATAAACAACAAAACAGCGGTATAAATTTTTTGTGCTTACATCATGATAGAGATACATAAGTTATTAATGTGCTTAAGTAGTCAAGTCTATGCATTCAACATCATTATAGAAAACACTTTTTTTATAGGAAAAAGGATTTAACATTTAAACTTTTATTTTTTTCAAAATTAAATAATGGGATGAGGCTCCTAATAAGCTACGGATGGTCTGGAAAAAGATCCCTGAAGTACACCATTTAAAACATTTTTTCATGTAGAGAAAACATCACCTTGTTTGACTCATTGACAAATGTTACTTATTATCCACTCTAAAAGGTTTCCGCCTACATCATATGCCTTCAATTTCAAAATTAAATGTCTCTAAAGTACTGGATCAATTGCCTTAACAAAATTAAGATAAAAAAGATCAACTGACTGTTTATTTGCTAAAGAGTACATAAGGGAAATTAGTTTATAGTCTGATGCTAACAGCTTGTCCCCTTTCCTAAAAATAAGTATTATATCTGCAGATCAAAATTGTAAAGGCAGTATACTGGAATGCTTAAATAATGCTTTAAAAATTAAAGTAGAAGTGGTATAAGGCTTTTTCATATTCCTTAATATTCCCCCCCCCCCAAATGTTTTTGCTATATACGCAAGATGAGGTCTGCTATATACAACTTTGTTGATGTTCATATTATAAGTTTTGCATTTAAAATTTTAATTAGTTTTTTTTTGTCTTTAAAGTTAATTTCCCCCAAAAAGAAATTTTAATAGTCAAAATAAAGCACTAATTATTAAAAAAATTACTTAAGGAATGCTTAAAAAAGATGTTTTCATTTTTGTAAATATTTGTATCTGACATGTATGTTAAGCAATAATAAACAACAGATTTTTGGATTTCATCAACATATAACAAAGTATAATTGTTAATTATCAACTAATTAATAATAGTAATTAATATATACACAAGTTTGAACAAAATTAAATATTATCATTATAAATACATGTTAAAAATAAATAATTTTAGATATTTCTTATAGTCACCTTTTTTTTCCTACCACATAAGCACGAAACAAAAGATTTCTCTTGACAAGATAACGAATCAGAACAACTCCCTTGGTGACAGAGTTTTTGGCAAAAATGACCACACTGAATAACTTTGAAACAACGAGATTTACAACTAAGAATTTCTTCCTTTTGATTTTCATTAGCAAAAATGTATTCTCTAAAAATTTAATTAAAATTCAAATTAAATTTCAATTAAAAATATTTTTGAAATAATTTTGTAATAAAAACTTACTGGCATTTAACATAAACTTTTAATAAACGACAATGACAATCCATCTTTAAATATTCATCACATGGTGGACATTCCCCTATAAGTATTAAAACATATTGAAAGAATTTCTACAATAGTTAGAGTAAAATAAAAAAAAAAAATTAATAATAACAAAAAAGGTTATTTGATAATAACAAAAAAAGATAAATAATTGAAAATAAATATTAAAAAAAAAAGTCCTGATTATAATAAATTTTTACAAAACAAGGTTTAAAAACATATTTCAAAATTAAAAAAAAAACAAATTTAGTTGATTTAACTTAATAAAAACTATATAAAAATTTTTGATTTTACATTTTTTTTTTAAATCATCTTCACTTCCAACAAGGCTGCAAGCAATCACTATTAGAGTTGGAAATTACTGGAAGACAAATGATGAAGTTTATAAAGCAAGATAAAAACTAACAGACACCATAAAAGATTGCAAATTATATAAATCAAATTATATGAAAAGAGCAAATTAAAAAAAACTGACGCGTGACGAAAAAAAATGAGAGGAATTTTTAGAGCACTTAGGAACAGTCACAGTAAAAGGACTTAACTAAATGACTGGTAACACAAGAATTTTAGTAGATGGCACAAAAGATGCTAGCTCTTTAGAGCTGTGTCTATTATAGTATTTATAATAAAGAGAAAAAAAAAGCAAAAAATTACAACGTGTTGAAGGTTAGCAACTAGAGCAGGTTCCACTATATTTACAATGCGTTTTTGCACCTTGTCTAAAAGAGAAAGGGCATCATTTGAAGATTAGCTCCAGATATGGCAACAGTATTCCATACAAGGATGGAATTGAGTTTATAGAGATAAAGAATAGAATTCTGAGCAAGAAAGTGGCAAGCACAATAAAGAGACACAACCTGATGCTATTTTTGCAGTGGATTTGATATATGATTTTTTAAGAAAGATTGGAATGTAGGAGTTAATCTTAGAAGACGAAAGATAGAAGACTTACCAAGTACATTACTGTTCATAAATATAGAAAGATCTTGATTGAGGTGATAATGATTAGCTGAAAAAAATTGAGCTTCATCTGAGTTGAAGTTCACCAGCCACTGAAAACCAGCCCATGCTGTGAGCATGGAGCTTTCAGTGATGAAAGATGATGAAAGATTTCAGTGATGAAAAGTGTTTAATCTTTCATCACATCACAAGATGAAAGATTAAGTGTTTGTTAACTAAAGAGTCAAAAAACTTGCTTATAATAGGAATTAAATACTATTGGGACAGTAGTTAGACGAGTCATATCGCGTTCCAGAATTTTTGATTATTGTGTAAGAAGTGCTTATCAGATTCTTGTTTTTCACCTTGCTGGAAATCTGATAAGCAGTTATTAAATAGTTTTAAAAGTATTGAATAACTATAAATAATAAGGAAAACACTTCTGCAAGACTATAACAGGTATGTTTCTAAACCACAAGCAGTAGAAGAGTCTAAGCAAGAAATCACTGGAGTGACAACGTCAACGTCAAGCAATAGATCAACATGTTTATTGGCTATATCAGGTAGGATGTGATTAGTGGAATCAAATTAGATTAGATTAAATTGATAAAAAGTTCTTAGCAAACAACTCAGCTTTGTCTTTAGGTGAGATAACAAAATCTGAACAATGTAAAAGAGGTGGAATAACAGATTTGCCCTTATAATAGACACTGTTAAAGAGTCTCTGGAGATTTTTGAGATAAAATACAAGATTTTGTGACCTGAGAATAGCTCTCCAGCCTGTATTTAATAAATATTTTTAATATTATTATATTCAAATATTATTATATTCCTTTTGAGCTATATGATTGTTTAACTATTAACCTAAAAAAGAAACATTATTTACCATAAAACATTTTAAAACATTAAAATAGTACAAAAAAATTCTCTGACATTCTCAGATTTTTTACCAAATCAATCTATTCCCCCTAATTTTCCCTGGCCATATCTAAACTCCTCTGACATTCACTGAATTCCCTGACTTGGTGGCAAACCTGTTACAACACACTTAGGAAATTTTATCTTTAAATCTGACAATTCTCTTAGAGCAGAGCAGGCTTCTGAAAAAGCTTAAAAATGAAGTCAACAGATTCAATGTTTCCCAGATGAGCAAAAAACATCTGAAGTGAAAACTGCCATGAAAATTGCTGATAGAATAATATTTAGCAGTTAAGTAGTAAAAATATATTTTTTAAATCCTTAAAACATTTGATATTAGTCACCTAAATCTATTGAAACCTTTTCTGGTCATTTCATTTTATACCTAAAACACATATGTGTTTTAGGTATGAACTGTGTAAAAGAAAACTCTTAAAAACTTGAAAAACCAAAAAAATATTCAAAATACATATCGGAATAAAAAAATTTGATTGAAAAATTGGTTGATTAAAACTATAATAGATTGAAAATATATCAAAAATAGAGTAGGTTTAAAATTGATGGAAATGTCAGTTAAAAAGTCATTTGTGCATTTATTGTGCATTTATTGAAGCTTGTGTGCATATACACACATATTACTTATTGAAGCTTGTGTGCATATACACACATATTACTTATTGAAGCTTGTGTGCATATACACACATATTACTTATTGAAGCTTGTGTGCATATACACACATATTACTAAAATTATCATTAAGAAAATATCAAGTTTATTAACACAAAAAAATCACTTTTTATCAAAATATCTTAAACATCAGTCTTTAAGTAGAAGAATTAATGGAACGTTTCTACAATATAATTTACTATGGCTTGATAAAGACTATATAAAAGCTATTTCAATAAACCATTATTTTGCAATACACCATAATCAGCAGGGATACATGCTAAATCATTTGTGAATTCATTAATGTCTTTAATGTTTTAACTGTAAAGAGCTTAAATTCAGACAAGAACAGAAACTTTTATTCTTTATGGTAAGTTTCAAATGTAAAATGCTAAAGCCCATTATTTTCAGATTTTATCGCAAGATTCTAGAGGCTTTTGCAAAAATTTAATAGTGTCATTAAGAAAGTCAATTCTAATATTATCTCTTCATTTTTTTTCGTAAATTTTTTATTAATTAGAACTTCATTCAATTGATTATTTAAAACTTTTCCTTTTATTAATCTTTTGAATGACCACACTCTTTCTGACATCCCAGATAAACAGGTTATCCTTTGATAGACATTGACATCTAACCACTGATGTTTCCGTTGCTAAAGTTTTTTTTACAACTTATTGTCTATAGACAATAAAAGTCTTGTAAAAGTGTTCTCCAGGTATCACTTCAATTCTCTATAAATTACTTAACAAGTGTTAAAATGAACCTTGTTTTCTTTGTTTGGTGGTCTTTATTTTTGGAAACTATTAAAATTGCTTCCAACGATTGCTCAATCAGTATAATTATTATTGCTCAATCATTTTCAACTATTTGAGTATTTAATTAAGAAAATGGTTTAAGCAAAAGGGCCAACGGTTTTAATGTATAAAAAGCTTTTTATAAAATGCTGGTAACTAGGGTGCATTAAAAACCCCATACTTTCAAAAAAAGATCTGAACCTATACTTAAAACTTTTTATTAGTTCAAAGTAAAAATACACATTTTCATATTTAGTTAAAAAAATTTCTATGCATTCAAGTCTAAAATAATAATTTTTTTATAAAATGATAATTATTTTTAAAATATTTAAATAATTTTTTTGGGGTTTTAATAGTCCATACAAATAAATGTAAAATTTTTTCGAATATTTCAGAACTTTATAAAATTTCAGTAATAACAGTACTTAATTTGCATCAACATAACTTGTGTTAAAAATACATACCAGGATGACAAGTCAATTTACAGCTATGTTTACAATTGCGTGGTTTAGTGCATAATTCTTTACAAGCTATACAGTTTTTGCCAGCCTAAAAAGCAATTTATCCATGCTGTATTAAAAAACAATTATTAAAGATTATTAAAGATATTTAAAACAATAAATCAAAAACTTTTACTTTTCCATGGGAAGGACTTCCTTTAACAACATGACACACTTTTTGACAAACATGGTTTTCACATGAAAGTAACCTTCCACAAATATGCTTACAAGAGTAAGCCTTTACTTCAAAACAAGGAAAAGTTTCAACCTAAACAAAAGAATTAAATTTATCAAACAACAAATAAAAAGTTTGATCTTTTTTTTTTTTTTTAATAAAAATCTTTAATATCTTTAATTTGACATTAAACTCAAACATCTTTTTATTGTTTTTAAACTTTACTCGTTAACAAAGCTGCAAAATTATTATTTTTAAAAATCAATCCCAACAAAGCTGCGAGCAACAACTAATCAGGTTGGGAGTTAACAACAAACAAAGAGTGTCAAAAACCAAAAAAGCAGTTGATAGAAGACTTAAGTTGTATAATTCAAGAAAACCTAAAGACTTGAATGATAACCTGTTATAACAGCAATAGTACAAGAGAACACAGTTGATTTTGCTGATAAGAAAACTAATTAATTAGGTGTCAGAACAATTTTCAGAGTTTTTAAAATAAAAAGTTAGTGTAAAAAAAAACTAATAGAGAACTAGAGAAGTGATAGAGCACTTGCTTCATATGTGAGAAGTTCAGAATTTGATGCCTAGCATATCCTTAGTAGTACCTACTTAACATTTTTTTCTATGCAGCAATCCTGTTAGTGTTTCAGAGTTAAAGGGTTAAGACTTTGAAAAAACTGTTTCTTTTTTTAAATAAAATAAAACTTAAAGGCCTTCTTGACTTTAGTGACTCTTGTTGCCTTAGGGAAGTAAATACAAAAAAAAAAAAATATCTTGGAATTATTCTAAATATAATAAATTTGAACCATTTAATACTCTGTGTTGTAAATAGTTATCAAATTTTTTTATTTGATAATTTGGATTGTTTATTATATGACAGTTTGGATTGTTTACTATGTGATAGCTTGGATTGTTTACTATGTGAAAGTTTGAATTGTTTACTATTTGACAGTTTGGATTGTTTACTATATGACAGTTTGATTGTTTACTACTTTAAATTTCTAAAATATTTAGTTACTTTAAAATTCTTATTAAAATTTTCAGACCTAATATTAGGTTTCGAAAAATAAATATCATATTGATGTATTTAAAAAATTAAATGAAATCAGGTATTAAAAAAAAGATTTTATAGTCATTATTTGAAAATTAAAAAAAAATTACATCAAATTATTATGTAAAAAAACAAACTCACAGAATGCTCTCCAATACAAAACCTAAAACAAATAAATTTTACATTTTTACAAAAACATTTTTTAAGTTAAAAAACATTAATAAGTATTGTAACTGTAAATATCGGTCAACAGTTTTTGTTTGTAATGGCAAATGTTTAAAATGTTAAAATGATTGCAAATTGTTGGTTCCCTGTGATTGCTTTGATTATCTAGACTGAATAGTTGTTTATATTATCAAAATGGCGGAATACGCCATGCTTTCCTTTTAGTATAATATATCAGAATAATAAAAACATAAAACAGGTTGGCGAGAATATTAGAGCTCTCCATCGGAGAGATCTAACACACTCCCCCCTTGAACAAAACGTTCAACATAAAACAAATTAAATACAAAATTAAAATTGTCCCATTAAGCGTCTTATTAGTATTCTGTTTCTTGATGCTATTCGTACAGGTCTTTCGTATTTCGTATCAGAAAAATCGTTACTTTCATCTACAGCATCATTGCTGGCGTTTAGCTCTGTATCAGTTACTGTTTCGACTGACTTGACTTCTATAGGGTATAGCTTTTCGATAGGACGCTTAATACAATTTTGTTTGTTTGTTTTATCTGTTAAGACTTTTACTATTGCAGAACGAACTATGTTATCACTTCCCGTAATCAGTGACACTACTTTTCCTAATCGCCATTTGTACCTTTTAATATCAGAGTAAATAACAACAATTTCTCCCAGTTCAATCGATCGACTCTTACTGGATCCCTGCTTGTGGAATTCTCTAAGATTAACTAGATATTCACTTGTAAATCTTACCCAAAAATGATCACGTACCAGTTTTAAATATTTCATTTGTTTAGTTAACTGAATCTTACTTTCAAGCTTGTCAAGATCTGCCCCTTTAGTTTCGTTAGGTGAAATGAGTCTTCGACCATGCATCAAATGGGAAGGGGTAAGAACTTTCGCACAAGAAAAATTCGCACCAGAAATAAGTTCAGATTCCATCAGAAGTTTCTGTTTGTACTCGCTTTGGCCAGAGGAGCCATTACAACCCCATTTACTATACAAAATTAATTGTTTAAATTTATTACTGTATACGGAATCTATAGTCAAAATTCTATCTACAGTATGATCCAATAAATCTTGCAGTTCCATAAATTTTGCATGTGTGTTCGTAATTTCTATTGCAAAAGATGGTGGATAGCAAGTTTGTTTAATTTCTTGCAACTTGTAATACGGTGGGAATAAGGAAGAGTTTTTTTCGTCTGTCAACTTCCTCAAGTATAAATATTGTGCTTTAGTTAAATCTAAATCAACAAACACAATAAGTGCTTCTTCATCTGTCAGTAAAACGTTTGTGTTTTCCATAAAACTCGAGACAGAGACCTTTTTTTCTTTTTCCGCAATCCTTAATGCTTCCACAATCTTTGCTTCTGTTTCTTCTCCAATTGAATGTAATACCTGAAGATATGCATTAAAGATATACTTGAATCCAATTTCCTTAACTAATATGGAAGTTTTTCTTTTTTTACTGGTCTCTGACAAATCTCCATAAGACATGCACGGTCTTCTACATTTTTCAAATGATGTAGATGGCGTGGGGTCTGTTATTGCATTTTTCGATTTTAGTAAAAATACACTATATTCGAAATCTAACCAATTAGATCCATGACGCTTTGGTCCATTGTTTATTAAACGACGGAATAATGTTCCTTCGAATATTGCTAACAATGAAACACAAGCAATCCTGAAAAACTTGATAATTTTCTTTTAAAATTATTGATAGTGTCTCAGTTGTTCTTCCTCTATCAATATAGGAAAGTAACAGTTGACGTTTCGAACATATAAAAACTGTCATTTTAAAAAGTATTTATTTTCCACTGTGAATTTGTTGCAGTTATATAAATATTTCAACTCTTTATATAATATTTTTAAATGACACAATGTTCACAAATTGCTGATAAAGTTTTCACCCCAAAATGCAAAAATAATTGAATGTATGTCCATCAAAATTAATTCTCAATAAAAATTAGACAAAAAAACTTTTGTTATAAACAGATAGAAACCACGATAAAAAGTTTTTTGTTTTCTGATTTTTAT